CCTGTGGAATGCTTGGGTGTCCTCCTAGAGGCCCCCACTCCTCACTTTAACCACCTTGTCACTTGTCTGCATCCCCAGAGCTGTGCAGGCTGCTGTAGGGAGGGACCAAGCCTGTCCTGTGCACTGTCTACCCCAGGGCCTTACACAGAGCCTGGCACTGAATAGGTGCTCAGCAAAGTAATTGATGAAGGAGTTTACTCCATCTTTAACAGGAAGTTTGTTACAATCCACTCCCTCCTTCCTGTACCATGCTTTATATTGTAACTTTCATTACATTCAGTTTCTTATGTATTTTGCCTTTTTATTATGAAAATTGGTAGCATACATGAAAATACGTATTACATACAATGATCCACACTGTTTTGGTCACCTAGCTTCAAAAATTACCAACTCAGAGTGTGCCCCCACTTCATGGGCCCAATGTGGGGGCGTATGGCACACCTCTTGGGTGTGCGACACAACTGCACCAGGGACTCTACCTCACAAATGCAAACATGTAACCTAATGGTTGGTATCCTCCAATTAATCTGAAATAAAAAGAAAATAAATAAATAATAATTACCAACTCAGGCTTTCATTATATGCTCAACTTCTCTCCACCTCTGTTGTGATATGAAATAAATCTGGGGTATCCTATCAGTATCTTATGACCTTGTCCTAAATACTTGAATGGGCATCTTAAAACATAGCAACTATTTTAATGATGACAACAATATGATACCGAAAATCAGGCACAATTACACTAAAAAATTAACAATAATTCTTCAGTATCATCTAATAGTCAATCAACATTCAGGTTTTTAATTGTTGTATAAATGTCATAAATTATATTTTATTTAAGTCTACATCCAAATAAGGTCCACACATTTTGGTTAACTGATGTTTCTTTCATTTCTTTTGAAAACATCTTTTAGTTGTTTATTTGCTCATGGATGGACGGATTTATTTTCAATTGGTCAATTTAATTCCTTTTTTCTTAATAACTAGAGGTATTTTCATTGAAGACAAAACTGTGTATAGGTTATCTTATTTAGAAAAGGATTTTGATACAGTTCATGTTAGACCCAACTGACATTGACCTCAGTCCCAACCTACCTCTACCCCAGCTGCAGCCAAGAGCCACCGGATGGACTCCATCCTGCCTCGTCCATCGTAGTAGTGGAGCTTGGGCTTCCCCGCCATGACAGCAGTCTCTTGGTATCTTTAATGAAGGTGTCCACAGAAGCGAAATGTACTTTGGGATATAAGGTTGAACAGCACTGACAATCCAGAAGGAGGATCTGCCTTCCCCCGGCAGGATTAGAGAAGCCACTTGAAGACATTCCTTGGCCTAAATAGTCACCCGTCAGTCCCCACCATGGTGAAAATGCACCAAACCAGTCTCACGTTTCAAGTCTCATTTGTCCTTACTTTAAGAACCTAAATCCAGGCTGGGCACCTGTGGCTCAAGTGGCTAAGGCACCAGCCACATACACCTAAGGTGGTGGGTTCGAATCCAGCCCAGCCCGCCAAACAACAATGATGGCTGCAACCAAAAAATAGCCGGGCATTGTGGCGGG